ATCAAAAGATAGAAAGATATTCATTCTCCAACAAGAACAAGTTGATCTTTCAACTCACTTTACGTTCAAGATTCAATGTAAACCCTATTATACGTATCTAAAACTTTTTTAAGGTTTTCTTTTTTTCTATTTGTCCTAAACTAACAGTTTCTTAACACATATGTTTTAAAAATTACTTGGTGATGAGAGGCTGTGACGGAGGTTGAGTAGGTAATGATACCATGTAAGTTTTGGAGAAGACAGTGGATTTTAATTCTTATACTTTGAATTTCTTTCGACTTAAGACGAGTTTTATAATTAAACTCGATCAGAAATGGATTACTGCGTATAAATATATTATATATATCAAATTAAATAATACATATTATATATTTTGTTATTTAAATAAAAAATATAACTGATTGGATTTTTAGAATTGAAAATATATATATTCCCATATAATTCTGCACGATATAAACAAAGCCTCAGTCAAGCGTCAATACATATGTTTATAATTGTTTAAATTAGCTTTTTACTTCTTTAAATTTGAAGAAAGTAAACAGAAATTATAAATAGAATATAATTATATACAATGTAATATAAAATTATACATAAGTAAATAAATTTTTAATAAAAATATTTAAAAAATTATCATATCTTAACTTATGAAAAAAAGTTTACTAAATAAATAAAATGTGATATTAATAATTATTTTAGTGTCAATGCATATATATATATATATATAGATATATACAAATATTATTAATATAAGTAACTTCAAGGTCATAGTAGTGATATCAATGACATTTGCTTGATGCAGAATATCAATGTCATATATATATATATATATACACAAACACACACGCACACACACACATTTAAAACTAATATGTGAACAGGTAGTTTCGTATCTAATTAATGTTATTTTTATTAATTGAATTAAAAATGGGTTATTTTCATAAAATTCTAAAAATAAATAAGTAAATAATTAATTAATATCTCGTCATAATTATGAAACGTGGGGTTGTTGGGACCTAAAGTCAAACGCATTTAATTATATTTAATTTTGTTACTAACATATAATTAATAACAAATTATTAAAATATTTATATTTTATTAGAATAAATTACACTATTTAATATAATAACATTAGTTTATTATTTTTCAAAAAATATTTAATAATTTAGTTAATTAAATTTTTTATGTTAAAAACATTGTAAAATTCAAGAATGACTATTTTAAATATCTGGTAGGATCTTTTTTTTTTCCAAATCATAGTAAAGTATAACAACTAAATAATTAATAAATAATGTTAATATTAATTTTACTTGAGATAATACTAAAAAAAAAAAAAATAGTTAGACTATTAACTAATATATTATAAAGGTTCAAAGAAAGAGTAATAAAAGTTTAAGAAAAGTTGATATCTTTTAAAACTTATTAGTTAATAAATATATAAACTTATTAACAAAAAATATTGTGCATGCGAAAACTTATTTTGTTTTTTTAAAAAAAAAAAATTGAATAGCTAATTAATAAAATAGTTAAATTATTATCTTCTCAAGAAAATAGGAAATCTATTTATAATTGAATTAAAAATTACCTCAAGGGTCAAGAAGAATTTTTTTTGGAAAAAATACATGTGGTTTTTTGGAATTCTCATTATTATGTATGCTTCTAGTTATTATCACAATATTACTATATATTTATTTATAATTATACACCCACCCTTGATTTTGATCATACAATTTACTCTCTCTCTTCATATATATATATATATATATATATCTATATTAGTTTACATCCTCTCGATAATTAATGAGAGTGCATAGTCGTAACCTAAATTTCTCTTTAAATAATTGGAGAGAGTTTGAAGTCAAAGAGAACCTAAATTTAAATTGTTAATTTTTAAAAGGAGGAATTAAATATTATACAAACTGTGAATTTTTAACTCCATTAAAAGACATAGTCACAAATGTTCTTGACTCAAAAACCAAAATTATAATAAAAGGGCAGAATAAATATATATATATATATATATATATACAGGTATAATATATAATGTCAGGGTAGTGGATTCTTCCAAGTTTTGAATTGAATATATAAATTTTATAAATTTGATTTAGAAAGCTAATGAGCAAACCATTAATTGAAGTACAGTGATGATATGTCGCCTCATAATTATATATATATATATATATATATGTAAGCACTTACATCTTCTCTTCTATAATTACACCCTCCTTATAAACCTACTCCAACTTACATTTGAGTTTCATTAACTCACTCCTTTCTTCTTTCATCAATAACCAGAAATATCTTTTTTAAAAAAAGTGAAGATGATCGAGATAGAAATAGAAGTTTGGAGAATGGGTTGGATTGCAGGTACGGTGGCATGGATTTGGATGATATGGAAAGTTATAAACTGGGTTTGGTTGAAGCCGAAGAAGCTGGAAGAGTGCTTAAGACAACAAGGACTAAACGGAACTCCCTATAAGCTGCTTATCGGAGATATCAGAGAAAACAACATGATGAATACAAAAGCACAAAGCAAACCCATGGATTCCCTCTCTCATGACATTGTCTCCCGTGTTATACCTTTTGAACTTGACGTTATTACCAAATATGGTAAATTAGTATTTATTAATTAAGTGATATATATATATATATCAATCATAACATAATAAAAATAAATAAAAAATATAATATTACGTCTTATCTTTTAAAAGTATTTTTCTCATTCATTTTTCAATTTTCTTCACTAAAATCAATAGAAGCTATTCATTAGTTCCAATATATTTATATTTATATGTGTGTGTGTGTGCATGCATGCAGGAAAGAATTCATTTATGTGGAAAGGACCATGGCCGGCTCTAATCCTCATGGACCCAGAAATGATTAAGGAAGTTTTGAACAGGTTTAATGAATTTCAGAAGCCACGACTGACATCCGTGCCTCGAACTCTGCTGAGCGGGCTTGTTAAACACGAAGGTGACAAGTGGGCAAAACACAGAAGTCTTCTCAACCCAGCCTATCGTATTGACAAGTTGAAGGTACCTAGATAGTTCATTATTTTTCAAAAATGTGTATATGTACAAGTAACCTTTGTCTTTCTTTTCTTTCTTGGCGTGTGTGTGTATATATGTATATATTATAGCTCATGCTACCAGCTTTTGAAGCGAGTTGTGAGGAAATGTTTAAAGAATGGGAAGCTATGGCCTCAGCAGAAGAGTCACTGGAGGTGGATACGTGGGCTTGTTTTCATGATTTATCTTGCAAAATGCTTGCTCGAGCAGCTTTTGGAAGCTACCATGAAGAAGGTAGAAAGATTTTCCTTCTCCAAAAAGAACAAGTTGATCTTGGACTCCAAGCCCTCAAATCTCTTTTAATCCCTGGATCCAGGTACACTAGATTCACTTTCCCTAAATCTTTCATATTTCATTCTTAATTTTCATCTGGGTACATGTATATTTTTTAAATAACTTCTGGGTCCATATATATATATAGGGTAAAGCATATATATATAGCTTAAGATAGTATATAAAAGTAGATATATGATTCATTTTCAGGTATCTTCCCACAAAAGCTAATAGGAGAACGAACGAAACCGAGAAGGAAATGATAGCTTCGTTTAAAGCCATTATTGACAAAAGAGAGAAAGCAATGGAGAGAGGAGAAACTTTTAACAATGATTTACTGGGTTTTTATATGGAATTGAATTCCAAACAAATTAAAGAAAATGGAAAGGAAGCTGGAATGACACTAGCTGAACTTATTGATGAATGTAAGGCTTTCTACTTGGCTGGGGAGAATGCAACCTCGGTCTTGCTAACATGGACAATGGTTCTATTGAGCATGCACCAAGATTGGCAAACCAAAGCAAGAGAAGAGGTTTTGCAAATTTTTGGCAACGAAAAACCAGACTTTGAAGGCTTAAACCGCTTGAAAATTGTTAGTATTTAATTTTATCCTCTAAAATTTAATTATTATAATTTAAATAATTTATTTTTGTATTTTCTATCAATTTAAACATATAAGAAAATAAGTTTAATAAATTATTTAGATTATG